CGTGAATTCATGTAGAGGATACCTTTTGATATGAAAGAGTATTCATTAGAAAGCTTTAATGGAGTACTTTCATTTTACTCTAACAACAAAGTTCAAAAAAAACTTCATGTGACACGAATTTCGAATTTATTTTCACATATTAATATAGAAAAGCAGCCTCAGGGAAATGTCACATGACTAATAGTATTAGTATATTTTACAATTTTTTCTGGGATAATTCCGTATCTTTTATAATAATCATTTCATAGTAATAGCAATAAAAATTATAATACTGAATTTCCATATGCAAATTTTTTATAGGGCTATCAAAGAAATAGCAAACTCATGTCATAAACTAGAACATCTTGATATCTATGATTGTGGACATGTTACTGATTTGTGAATTCGAGACCTTGTACGTTCATGCCCAAAACTTAAACACATTGAACTTGGTCAATGTATAATTGGTAATAGAGCTATTAAGGAAATCGCCCGCAAATGCATCAATTTAAAATATCTTGGTTTGGAGGGATGTAAATGTATTAGCAGGGAAGCAATAGAAAGACTTAATCCAAACATCGAAGTCGAATGCCCTGATTTGGATAGTGAATGGCCTGATTCAGATAGTGAATGGTCTGACAAAGAGAATGAGTAATTATTTAGAGTCATTTACAAAACACGATAAATTTTTCGATGTGATAGGACGCAAAGCGTGATAAATTTTTTGAATAAAAAAAGCGAAACCGGGATTATACGTGGATCGAGTAGCTGAGAATTTATTACCTATTTGAAACTAAAAAGTTTTGATTTAAATATTATTATTATATCAAGATACTTTTCAAGAAAATAGGCCATATTAATAGGTCGAAAACACTGAATTTCATTCATTATTCTACAATCTCTGCCTCATCGAAAAGTATATAAGTTCGTAATCTATAGGATTAATCATTTCCTCTATTTCATATCCCGACCAGGGATGCAATCACTCACTCTTATTAACATGATTAAATATGATTTAATACATCGCCTCTTTCTCTTTTTCTGATTAATTTATTTCGTAACATGCATCCTTCTACTTCTGCTAGATTATAGAAGAATTCTTTACATTTTCCATCTAAAAACCTCATTTTTTTGTTGTATTTTTTATAGTCGTCAGTACCATCTTCTTCTCAACATTGTTCTTTAAGCTGTATCTCCATATATCTTACTGATACTATTCTCCAATAAAACTTTTCGCGCCTCATATGCAATGTTTCACTTCCTTATACCAAGTATGGTTAATCGATAAAGCTATACTAATACTATTCAATGGGAATTTTTGAACGATTGTTGCAATTGTATCCGGAAGCAGAAGTGGATTATACGAATGCATGATATAGACACCTTATAACTAGGTAGGTGAGTGGAACAAAGAGATATAAATTACATAGAAAATTCAAAACTTAAATAAAAATTCGTGTGATGGAATTATGACGCAAAAGCGTGAAATTTTTCGGTAGTACGAAAAAGTAAGAATAAAAATTTCGAATCGATAGTACGTAAAAGTGCAATAAATTTTTTTGGTAATACGCAAAAGTATGACCCAATTTTCTTTCGAATCGGTAGTACCCAAAAGTGCAAACAAATTTTTCGATGCGGTAATACGTAAAGGTAATACGCAAAAGTGCTAACAAATTTTTTGATCCAGTAATACATAAAAGTAATACGCAAAAGTGCAATAAATTTTTCGATGTGGTAGGACGCAAAGGTAAGATCAAATTTTTCGATCCAGTAATACGCAAAGGTAATCAAAATTTTCGATCCAGTAATATGATCTAAAGTAATACGTAAAAGTATGATTCAAATTTTCGATCCAGTAATACGTCAATGTGCAATCAATTATTATTTTTTATATGGTGATACGCAAAAGTAAGATTTAAAATTTTTGATATGGTGATACGTAAAAGTAATCAAAATTTTCGATCCAGTAATACGCAAAGGTATGATCCGATTTTTGACAAGAAAAAATGATACTCAAAAGCATCAACTACGCGAGAAAGTGTTCCAGAGCGTGAAAACATAGTGTGCATTCGGTGATATCCAAAAGTATAATTAATACAGAAAGATATATATATTATAAAAATTGTGCCTTTGGATAACATCAGGTAAGTATACAGTTTCGGCACTATGTGCCTCACCCTCGATCAGTAATCGAATGCATCATGCAAAGCCAGATCATGAATACTATTTGGCACTTCGTGCCTCGTCCTCAAATTCAAATGCGACATGCAAGGCCAAAATACAGATTGCAAATTTGACACTTCGTGTCTCATCCTCGCAATCGAAAAAGTTGGCAGTTCGCCTAGGAAATGTGGTATTATTTGTAGTGGTATAGGAGATTTGTATTTTTTACGAATTGGTTTTTTTAGTCCAAAGTGGGGGATAGAGGTTCTATTTATAGGTTTTTGTAGTAATTTATTAGACTACTCAATCAATGTACAATTTGACCACGAAATAGTCTAATTTATTAATAATTACATCATTACGGATTTGCAAACCAGGATTTTTTGCATCCAGTTTGGGCATAGCCCTCACAATTGGCACGTTGTGCCTCATCCTTGGTGGAGAAAGCGTTCACAAACCAAACGAAAGCCAGCAACCACAACAATGTACATGACTTTGAAAGAAAGAAAAAGAGCCACCGGAGCATACAACGCAACATAGCAAGATTATAGTCATAGTTATACCTACCTAGTAGATACCTAACCTAGTCATAGTAGATACATAACCTGGCTAAGTAGATACATAATCTTTAAGATTATGTATCTACTTCAGACAAATCTGATAGTTGACAACTAATATGTAACTTCACAGATTCAATATTTGGCAGTGAAATATTTTTCCAACTTTTTATTTTGAAATCAGCATTACATGTTAACTGTAAAGTCTTTAAATTTTTAAAAGTTGGTAAAAATAAATCAACTAAAATATCTACATTGTTATAAGATCCATAAGCAATTATTGATTGTGAATGTGTTAATATTGCTTCTTTTAATTCATTTGGTAAAGTTTTTTCAGGTGTTGTAATCTCTAAATATTTAATTTGCCTTTTGTGCTTTAATTAGCTGTGTCAATTTATACAAGATATGTTTAAATGTTACAAATGAAAGACAGTAATCTATACTTGACAGAGACCACTATTTGCATTTCTAACCCATATTCAAATATTCGTAATTTTATATTCAAATATCCATAACACTTAATAGTAATAGTAAAATTATATACATGAAGTTGAAACGATTTAATTTCGGGGGTTAAAATGGTCAAAATTGTCATACCACGTGATTTATTATAGTTAATTAATCTCTTGAGAACCAGTGATCCAAATTTAATGAAACACAGCTCATTAGAATAGTCTCATAAAGAGGATTTGGATAATGGTGATTTAATAATGTCCATAGTATCAATAAATGGTGAGTTATTGTAATATTATGGCAAACCAAAATATCTCAATAATCAGTGATTCAAATTACATCTCATTATACTCACCTCATTGAGAGAAATCAATGGTGGTTGTTTTATTCAAAATAGCCAGATATTGACAAAGTTATGAGGATTTGGAGCTTTTGATTAATTTTCTGTAAATTCAGCTTGTTGTATGATGTAATTTCAACCATTTCAATTTTTGATTCAACTTTGATCTCTCAGGTCGAAATATTTTGACTTTTGGGTTTCAATTTCAACTTCATGTATAATAAATTGAAATAATCTATAGAACAGAAGTATTATATTTTTATAATTCATGGAATATAGATACCATTATCAGCAACCTAGACTAATCAAAATCCATAAGTGGTGCATGCTTTTCCAAGAACTTAATATATAAAAAATCATTTCACCACCATAATAGCAATAAGGTTCACATCAAAAAATCCATCAATATTTAGTTTGTTGATGAGAAATTGCCCATTCAGGTTTTTTTACTCTACTTAAAATTGAGATATTGATTTGTTTTTCATCTGAAGATAAAACTTTTTATCTGTTTCAATCTTATATTCCCCATCTGGAAACATATTCATCTTCCTTACTCCAACATATTGGATTATATCCACCTCCAGTTACCTTAATTTTCATTGTGGTCACAGTTTGTTCAAAAATCGGGGTTCACTCAATTACAAGAGAATATTTATTTAAAAGCTTTAATAATGAAGTTTTTTTAATAAAGTTAAATAAAAAATGTGGAACATTAATTTTTTAAAAGCTATATATACACACACACACATATATAAGAATGGTTGATGTTTTTTATGAAATATGTAACAATTTTTTTCCTTATTTGTATTCTCAGATTGGCAAAAATTTTTGTAATCAACTGAACACAGACAAACTTTCCATCCACAAGTTAATATGCATTAAAATTTTATTAATTAATATAATATATTGTCTAGGGATATTCATATTGGAATTTGGTGTAATCTTCACCTATAACCCAACTATCAAATATAGCTTCAGCTATTGGATTAAATATAATCTTTTTTTCTTCATCGAGTACTTTATTGTTGGTAAATATTAATGGAAATGAACTTCTATCTACATCTGTTGAACCCATTTTAGAATCACCAACAACACTTGAATATAGAAATCTAGATGAATTTTGTAAATTGCTTGTGTACATAATTGAACTATAAGTCATATCTCTTGCAACTTCATCAATTGCATGATTTCGAAAACTCTGACTTTCTAAATCAAGATCTGTATCTACAATTTTACCTTGTTTAAAACAGTCATTGAAATTATTTTCATTCATTATTGGAAGAGGATATGCTTCCTTCAAAATATTTTTGAGTTCTGTTAAAGTATCATTAATGCTATTGTTATGATGTTTATTTATTTTGTTAAAAGGAAAACCATATGGTGAAATAATTGTGCCTGATAATGATATTCCTTGTGGCATAGTTGACATTTCATCCATATTAGCAGAAGTCCAGTCAATCATTATTATTTCTTCACTTTCATCATCTATTAATCGAAAATTTTCTGAAAAATGTTGATTCCGAATGATTTCAGAATTACTGCGGGTAGAAACATCATAAGAGCTTCGTATATTTTTTAATATCTCATATCTGCCCAAATATTGACAAAAAATTAGAATTCTCAAAAAAAAAAAAAAAAAAAAAAAACAAAAATCAAGATAAAAAGAAAAAGAAGCCTACATTGTTGATGGATGTAAGGATTTATTAATTCTATCATGTACCAGGTTAATTTTATTATTGATCAATGTATTTATGGTGTCCCTTGCTTTATATTCTGTTCTATGATCTAATGAAGCTAGACTAGTAAGAAACCAATTAGAGTTATTTGATAAATAATCTGCTGCCCCTGACTCCCATCTTTCAGAGTAGTATAAAGGTGAAAACAAGTCATGATTATGCTGTTTATTAAGATTTGCAACAATAATACTATTATGAGTTCTTGAATGAGAAAGTGTAGCTGACCATTCACATGGAGAAAACCTTGAAAACTTTGTAATTTTTGGATCATAATCAACTTCAGTACATTTAAACTTTGCCAATGTAACATTTCCATTTGTATCTGTCAATATTAACCTTCTATGACAATTAAAACCTAATTTGTTGCCATACTCTTTAAAAAATTTTTCCACATCCTCCCATTTAGAAAAACTTGTATCATAATTTAAATTAAGGGTTTTAAGACTATAGTTATTTTCTGATGATTTAAAATCTTTGGAAATATCTATGCATTGGTTTAAAAATAGCTATTTAATAAATAAATAAATTAAGGTTAATTTTTCATCTCAAAAAAATAAATAAGAAATATTCTTACAGTTCCATAACTTCTCAAAAGACTTGGATTGATAGTGTTTCAATCGAAGTTCTGGGACAGTGCCTAAATCCTTGTCAGCCATATGTTGAAAAGTTGCTACAGACTTTGGCATATCAACAAATTGCATATCAAACAGTTCTAGATGTTTGTACTTGGGCATTGGTGCATTTGTTTGATCTGCATGATAAAATGTTTGTTTGTATAAAGCACCAGTTTGTGAGAGTTGAATTACACTAAAACAATTACTGTTATCGATAGATGAGTCTATCAATATTTTATCATCAATCATTCCACTTGGTAAATATTGAACATCATTTTGGAGCAATAAAGCACTGGATAAATATGGTAGTTTAGGTGTCTTTAATGGTTCATAATAAGAATGAGATAATTGTGTCAAGTCTGGAGTTCTCAAGTATTTTGATTGTAAAAAGTCTGGATGTGTATGAAATGATGGAATTGAACAAGGTTTGTTTTTTATAGTTATCAGTCCATTGTCATTAGATGAAAATTGAAATGTTTTTAAAGATGCAAAAGTTTTTGACCAAGCCAAAACATATGATTCTAAGTAAAATTTAATTAAATTAGAATTAAATCATGTTATAATAAATTAAAAAGATATTAAAAAAGATAAATAAATAAAATACCATTACCATTTTTCTTGACTATAATGTTAAATCCAGATAGATGGCTATTAAAGTGATGTGCACATCTTATTAATGGTCTTTTTGGAAATCTTTGATCTAATATATTGATATCATTGTCAGTTGAGAATATGGTCTGAAATGAATTCATCATGGGAAACCTTTGAAATGCATATATGTTTTCTCCAACCTTAACATTATATAAATTAACATTTGGTGATTCCACTTTTTCCTATTAAAAAAATATTACATGGTAAACATTAAAAATTTTTTTATTAATTCCAAACATAAACAATAAATTAATTACCCTAAAATCATAAAAATTAATATTAGTTCTAGAAGCAGCAAGCAATGATTGAGGATGAGCACCATACTCACAAGCCTTCCACAATTTGCTTAGTGGTTTGTTTGTTTGTGGTGATGGAAGGTGTATTGAATCTGTACCGGACTTTTCAAATTCTCTGAAAATTATCAACTCGGATTAGAATCATAATAAATCTTATTAAAAGAAAATTTAATTAAATTAAATTTAAAAATTTACCGAGTAGAAATGGATCTTTCTGCTCTCCAAATATAAACACCATCATACTTATCTATTATAGCTGCCTCACCATATAATACTGGATTGAAGGCGACATGCATGTGTTCATAAAATTTATTTGTGTTATTCACTAGGACATCCATAACAATTGGCTTATAATTAGATTGTTTTGTAAATTCGAAAAAAATGGTTCCAGTCATTGTTCGTACAGCCATTAAGCCTTAATAATATTAAAAAGATTGAATTAAAATAAGTGATAAAACTCCCAAGAATAAATTATTATTATTATTACTGCATATGACTAACCAGGTAGTTTATTAACAAGCCATTTTTCAGATATGGAAGTTGTGACTTGTCTAATAGGTGTTTTTAAATTTAATCTTGAACTGTTTGATAGGTCTAGTTCAAGTTGACTGATCTTAAATTCTGAATCATGAAAGTTATTCTCTTTTTTTAATGGGATCATGCCTTAAATATGCATATAAATATCATTGTGAGTAAACTCTTTATAAGAAAAATTCGACAACATTAATAAAAATTTTTCTCCAACCCACATAACTCAGATCCTGCAATGCCCATTGGAAAAATCATAAGTTGGAGTGGTTGGCCATCTACTATACGATAATCACAAATTGAAATAAGTTGACTTCCCATGCAAGAATCATTGGTGTAATGATATTCTTCTTCAATAATAGATTCATTTATAAAAGTTTCAGCAAGAAAATCTAGAGGAATATCAAATTCTGGAATTACATTATGCATGTGTTCAGCCTTTTTTTTTGAAAAAAAACAATTATTAATGAATTACTATTTAATATTTTTATTTTTAAAAATGTAAGAATGAAAATAAAACATTGATTTACATTTTGAGTAAAATATGATTTGGAAAGAACTATGTTACGATGAATGTTCAGGTTTTGATCATAGCGACGTGTATGTGGAAAATATTGTTTGATAGGTGTTATGGGAACTACTCCAGTAGGTTGGTTATCTTTATTTTCAAAAAAATGCAAAATATATGAGTAAAAGAAGGATTCTTAAAATAAAATTGTAAAAAAAAAACCAAAATAGCTACTTGTTGATCCGCTGTTCATAAATTCCCCATCAATATTATTTTTTGAAAGACAAAAACCATCTAAAGCACCAAAATCAGCACTTATTTCATTAGAGTTTGGCCAGCTAAATATTGGAGCAGTTTGAAACTTTTTATTGGTATTCATTTTGGTTTCAAAAGACTAACGAACGGAGAAAAATTTTAACTTCGTGACCCGTGAATTTTTTGTAGCACGACAGGTAAATCAATCACATGAAGATAATCGAGAAAAACATAAATACATGGGATTTTTCAATTCAGACTTTTCTTTCAAAAAAAAAATGGATAAAAATAAAATTTTAGACAATCAATTACATGATGAATTAATCACTTGTACTAAGTTATTAAATTTACAAAATTATGGTAGTATTTCGTTGATTTATTAATTACAAAATAATAATAACTAATAACTATGATACTAATAATAAGAATATATATATAGAATATGAACAAGAATTAATTTCTGATGTTAGGTTGGATTTTTTTTCAATTGGTGAAGAAGATGACATTGATTTTAATAACAATTGTGATAAAAATCTCGATCCTAATGATAGTAATAATAAAGATCAAAATAAATTTCAATTAATAAATAAAGAAAAATTAATTATAAATGATATTAACGAAGAAGAGATTAAAGATTTATTATCAATAAACATTTTTAAAATTTCTTGCAAAGAAATTTTTCGTAAATAAAATTATATATTAATATAGTTATTCTAAATCGATTGATTTTTTTTTTCTAAATAAATAAAAATCATCGATATTCTTTATTTGCTTTTTTAGAAAATAACACCAAATCATTTGATCTGCTTGAATATATAGAAGAACCTATATTTTCTAAAAATTGTCAATTCACAAGCACTGCTATTGATGATGATAAATTATATCCTATTCCAACACCAAAATCTTTATCGTGTTATTTTCCAATTTTGACAATTACCGATGATAATCCAATTTTTTTCAACCATCAAATATTGAAAATTAATGATTTATGGTACATATAATTATAATTATAAATATAATGTCATAATTGTTATTAACATTAATTATTATTATTATTATTATTATTAAAAATAAGTGATGACATTAAGAAGAGTGAAGCAAAAGATATTCAGTTACTTATTAACGAGCAAACAACTGATTGCTACTTTGATGATATTACCACTGCTATTCTTTCATCAACGACAAAAATAAATGATAATTATAATCAAGATTTTTATTTGGAAGAACCAATTTTGCAAGATAATATGAATAACAAAGAAATTTTTAACAATAACAACAGTAATAATGATTTTACTAAATTAGTGTTGCCAACCATACTTGAAGAATTTAATGATGTGATAATGACTACTGAAAAAGATCAATTGGTCCCAGAAGAAACTGGCGTCAAAGCTCCAATCGAAATAATTAATCAATGGGGTAATTATAATTATTACTGTTGTAATTAATTGATCATTGTATTATTTTTAAAATTAATATTTAATAGAAAGAGTAAAAGATTATATTGTTAAAAACAACAATGATATTGTTGATGTCGTTGATGGATATTCAAAAGAAGGAGGAAAGTCCTATCTTTTCAAATTGGGTAAATAAATACAAAGCACTCAAAAATCATATGAGGGGAAAAATCGAATTTATTAATATTATTGATTTTATATAGAACCTGTCTTGATTCCTGTGAAAGATGATCCTTTAGAAATGACGGATCGTAAAAAAAGCAGCAGTAAAACAACAATAGATTTTAGTAATATCGAGCAACAAGATACCATAGATTTAATTCAGTAAATCAATCATCTTTATTTTTCCAATTTCATCTTTCATCACATATATACGCTTTCTTCTAACTTTGTAAATATGATAATTTAAAGATCTGGTTCGGTGATAAACACCATAAAATCAATTGTTGACGAGTCGACAAAGACAATGTTACTTGCAATGAGCGAACAATCGGAATATCAACGAATTGATTCTAATATCAATGAAAAGGATGATGGTGATAAAGAACTCGAAAAAGATTTTGAAACAATCTTTGAAGTCATATCAACAACCAAAAATTATAATTACAATAACATTAATAATGTTAATCATTGGCAAAATATTATGGAACAATCAATGGATGAAATTTGTGGACTGAAATTCAAAGGTAATTGAATAAATAACTTGTTAATATTCATAATGACATTGTTGTAAAATTGCAATATTATTGTTCTAAAATTAGTTACGGAATTACCACATCCAACCACTTGTCTGAAGACAAGGATCAATAGTAAAATTACACTTCCAACATCTATCATTGATCTTATAATTACTAAATACAATAATGATAATGTTAATAATAACTACAACAACAATAATAGTGCAATGTTATCATTAAATTCAAAATTTCAAATACTACAACCATTTTTTGGAATTAAAACCTTGGAATTCGAGTTACATTGGAATCCTATTAAAAAACTTGTAATAACTGACATGAAAGAAATTATTGATTCAAATTATAATCTGGAAGAAAATATCAGAGAATTATTGAAAAATATGTGCAGTTGTAATAATAAATCTTCTATTGATGATTCAATTGATTTATTATTAGATGTTATTATTGATCCATCATTATCATTAATTGAATCAACGAAAGAACCTTCTTGTTTGAAATCAAGAAAAGAGGAGAAAAATATGATTAAAAAATTGGAAATAATAAAGAATGCTGATAATAACAATGGTAATGACAATAATGAGCTTTACGGTTTTAAAAATGTACATGTTCCTGTATGGATATTGCCATTATCATCATCTCCACCAATAACATCATCTAATTGTATGAAATCAACTTCTGCCCTTATAACAAAAAATAATTCCTTGAATTTAAATTTAGCAACAACTATCTTTAATATTAATAACAACAACAATAAAAAAAATGATGTTGATGACAATAAGAAAGTCAATAAAAAAGTCAAAGCAGCTTCTTCTACAGCAGTCTCTGCTGATATTATTTCACTTTTATCTAAAAAAAAAGGCATTAGCTGTAATGACAACAAAAATAATGATGAATTAAAGAGTATAGAAGAGGAAGAGATAACTTATTTGTCAACATTAACACCACCATCATCTCCATCAAAAAAAACTGTCACGGGTATTAAATCACCATATTTTTCCCAAGTACAACAAATTAATTACAATAACAATGATGACGATGGTGATAATTTCATGGCCAAATTGCAACATAGCCTTAATGGCAATAAAATCAACGACACCACTGACAAAAATAATAATGGCAAAACATTTAAATATTTTTCCGGGAAATTTTCTGCTACAAGGTCAATCGATGATTTTCTAATTTTACGTGGTAAAACTTCACCTGATAAATCATCATCATTATCATCATCATCATCATCATCATCACCATCACCGCCACCATTGCTGAGTATACAACATCATCGCAACCAAAAGCATTTAAAACTTAAAGTTTTAGATATTTCCAAAAATAAAAATGAACCAACTTCAACATCAATTGGTAAATAATTATTTTATTTTTTTCAAAAAAAAAAAAATTTTAAAAAAATTTTTAACTTTTATTTTTTTTTTTAGATCTAACCTATAAATCCACCATTAGAAATTTACCAGCTCCAACAACAGTTCATAAATACATCATCTCTTCACGACTTTTGCAAAATAATAGATTATTGACAGCTTTAAGAAGTGATAATTGTAAGGTAGAGCTTATCGAAAGAGATTTTGAATACTTGAAAACGTTTTTATCTGATGATTATTATGAACAACAAAAAAACTTAAATTACGTTGAAGCTGATTTAATATTAGATGAGAGAACTGCAATGATTTATTTTCCATTAAATAAGATTTCGCAAATACAAATATTTACACAATTTCTTAATACACTTACTCGTCTTGCTCAAAAATATTCAAACTTTTATTTAATACTTGAAAACTATACTCGGAAGAACAATAATAACAGTGATGATATGATGATAGAATTGTCAACTACACCATACTTATTTACCCTACCAACTATAAAAGCATTAGCAAATTTAAGTTCGTTACCATCGATTCATATATTATATTCAACGTCTGAAGAAATGTCAGCAAGATTAGCAAGATTGATAGGTGATGTGTGTGCAACAAAATGTGAAAATTTTAATAATAATAACAATTTGATAGTGATTGATGATAATGGTAATAACTATGACAGCATTGGTAATAGTGGTGACGGCAATGGTTGGAAAAATAGACAACAATGGGAATCAAGGGATTGGATGATAACAGAAGAAAGTTTGGTGAATAATATAAATAATATAAATAATAAAAATGATATTAATATTACTATTTTAATCATGTTTTTTTAATAATCATATGCACGTATTTTTTTTTTTTTTGGAAATAAAGCATGAAAATTTTTTGACATGTTTCACTCCGTTTATTAATCCTTTTACTGCACAAATGATTTTAACTGCCACAAATCTTCGGGAATTTCTTGCAATGTCTCATTTAGAAAGGCGTGAATTAATTGGTGATTGGATTGACGAAGAACGATTGGTGAGAATTGGTTTTATTCTATGATCTTGTGTTTTTATTTAATTTTTTCTTTTGTTAATAGCTCCATCTATGTCTATGCTTTAGATACAATTTAATGAAATCGTAAATGGTGATATTGATGAGCTTGAAGTATTTAAATTTGAAAATCAAGAAATGGAATATTTGTAAATGTTTATTAAATTTACAAGAATATATAGAATGTGTATAATTGACATTTTAATTCATTTAGACTCTTAATTGGGTTGTAAAATTCATCAAAGATGTCACATTTAAATAATTCTCAAATGAACTAATCAAAACGGCTTATAACTATTAAAACTGGAAAAGTAGTAAGCATCAAATGCAAGAACAAAAGTCAGATTTAAAATTGTCCAAGGTCAAGACGCTATAATAACTTTATTATTTCACTTGACTGGTATGAAGAAATCCAGATCATTATCCATAATAATGGTATTCCTACTACCAAACTATAATCTGCCACCTTGAACGGAAATGGCGGTTCGGGCCTAATGACTCATGGTATCGCTATAGCTTAATTCCACTTCTTTATTAAATAAAATTAGTTTTCATTTCTATTATTATGGCTATTATTGTTACTATTATTATTAATATCACAATTATTGTAATGCTATGCTACTACTATCATTTCTTGGATGAAGTTCACTCTCCCCATTGGGATTAGAGAAAAAAATCCGTTATTATTAAATTGATAAATCTTGAAAAAACAATTTACAAAAAAAATCATCTAGTGATTGATTCATCTTGATGTTGGTAATTGTTATTTTTTTATTTTTATTTTTCCATTTCACCACTTTTAAAATTTACAGAAACCTGTCCCTAAACCTATCCTATGTACCAATATTGACCAGCCTATATGTGTTTCAAACTCGGGCACTAAAACGTGTTTTTATTTTATTTATTATTACGCGTAGTTAAATTCAAAATCAAAAAAACGAAAAGAGCATTTTTATTTTATTAATAATATCTCTGCCTATGCACAATTAACAAAAATAGAAAAAAAATAAAAAGTATCAAGTTGATACACTGTATAAACTAATATTGACCTGACCGTCTATGTGCGTGTTTCAAACTCAGGCACTTAAAGACAATCAAAACGCGTTTTGATTGTTTTCTTCTTACGAAATGTAATAGTTGTAGTAATAAAAGAAATGTTATTATAATTGTATCGTATTGTAATTGTTAAAGAAAAATTATTTAAACATTGGACATTAATGTTTAAATTTTTTAATTCTTGGGGAAAATGATGTTGAAACCATCCATGAAATTCAACAGTCAATGAATGTATTTATTTTCTTTCCAAGATCGTAAAACCCTACTACTTTCAATGACACTTGATAGCCTTCTCTTGCCAGCCCTTTAACTTGTGCTTGATTTTCTCTGCTATCTTCTTCCGTGTTGAAACCAACATGAATTTAATTTACAAGAATAAGATTATATATCTTTTTTAGACCAAAAATGCATTATTATCTATTATACTTGTTACATTTTAAGAATTATTACCTTTCTGATAAATGTTTTTATAAAATTTGACTTGGTTGATTTATTGTGATTTTTTTTGTTCAGAGAATACCAGTCCGTTTAATTTAATCACGTGAAAATTTTAAACTGGCAAATTCGAATAATAACGAATAATTCGAACAAAATGAATTAACATTAATATTAACATTAATATTAAGATTGAGTTGTATTACGAATAATTCGAATAAGGATTTGCATTGCGAATAGAAATTCTAGTCATAAGTCCCAAGCTTACCCAAAAGAAAAAAAGTAACTCTCTAGCGCAGCATTATATTTATTTCATATAGATTATGTTTTTTATTCTAGTTAAATAAAAATTTGTAAACACCAAGATTGATAGCATCAACCTCTAATATCAACAAAAACAACAACAACAACAACAACAACAATAATAGTCTCCTGTCTCCTCCTCTTTGATGATCATGTAGAAAAAAATAAAAGTTAAGTTTTGAATTCACCAAATGAAATTTAAGATCTTATTTATTATTATTGACTAACATTAGTCAGTGATGTAAAAACTCGAATAATCATGGTAAAATAGTTTATTTATTTAATGAATTGGTTATTTAATACATTGATTTATAATATATAAAAGCAAAATATTAAGAATTCAACATCGTTGAATGTAGAGTAGAGGGAAAAGTCCTCTTATTTATAATAATATAAAATCAACATTTGATTATCATTCCTTGATCATTCATTGATATTTTTCTCTCGTCCTTTTTTTCAATTAACTTTCTTTAATATAAGTTTTTCTTCCATCTGGGTTATCTTATCTTGAGTTTTAGTTTGTTTTCTGGATTCTTTTTTCTTTGAATTTGGTTATCCTCTAGATTTTTATAATCTTTTAGTGTTTCTTTGTATTTTTCAATATCAACTGTTTTTCCATTTTGCAAAATGTATTCTTCTTTCCTTCTTGTTTTTAAAAACTTTTGTGCATCTCGATTTTGTTTTCTTCTTTTGTTTACTTTTTCTTTTTTTTGTGGATGTCTTTGAATATTCTTCAAATTCTCACTGAATCCTTGCTGGATATATCTTTTCTCTCGTATACATTCTTCATTTGATTCATTTGATTCTATTATTATTTTTATTTTTTCTTTCTCTCTTGAAAACTCGTGGAACTCCAATCAGCAATACTTTTTCTTCCAAGTATTTTCCACAAGTTCTTGAGATTCCATATATTCTATATAACTTCTGCATGATGTATCCCGCTCATCTATTGCATATGTACATGGATGTTTTCTTTTATATTTATCCGATAATTCTCCTTCCAGGTTATCTCTTGATCATTCTGGAGTGGTTTTCTTTGTTCATTGTTTTAGTTCGATTATCTGTTAGTTGATTTCCGACAGCTTTTCCTGAACTCTCCGCCGTTTTTGAAAACATGTTGTGCAACGTTAAACACATTAATAATGACGCGCCCCCTAGGCTTATCGCGATTTTTAATAACTGACGCGCAATTATCTATCTTCAATAAATAAAACTTTGATTATACAATGAATTCATTTGAAAATAGTAGTCATTCTGCTGCTGGTGCTAACTCACAAGTACCAAAAGCTCCAAAAACTCTTTATTGTTATGGTTGTCAAAAAGATAAGCAGATTCAATCATTTTCCAAAACACAGATTACTAAAGTCATGTCAAACATACATAATCGTAAGAATTTCTTTTATTTTTATATTTTTAAATGTCTTTTTTTGATGATAAATAATAATAATAATAATAATAATAATAATAATAATAATAATAATAATAATAATAATAATACACGTAACTATAAAGCCTATGCACCTCGTGGTAAAACAATTAAAAAACATCATACAATGTGTAAACAATGTACTCCTCAACAAAATGAAAATTTGACTTGTATGGTTTGTACACGTGAAAAGCCTTTAAGTCAATTTGCAAAAGTAATTATAGCATCATATACATTTATATATATAAATAGATGTGTGTGTGTGTTTAATTCATTTTATTTAAATTTTTTTAGGCCCAAAGAAAAAACGCTGAAAAAGCTCGATGCATTAGTAAATATTATAATGATGATATGATAAATTTTCTTTGTTTCTATCTAAATTATTTTTGACAATATATTAATTAAAAATTTTGAATTTCCTTAAAGAATGTGTTGACAAACATAAAGACGAAGATATTGATGACAGTGAACCCTCTGAAAGTGACCCCGAGGTTGAACAAAATGAAACTTGGGATGACATTTTGTAAAAGAAATCAAATTAAAAGATATATATTTAAAATGAAGTCTTTATAATGTCTATTATTGTTGCAACGTTTATTAATTATAGAATATATTCATTTGATGTTATTTCATAGTCTTAATTTTTGGTAAAAATCATCATTTTCTTATTAATTTTCAAATATTTTTTTAATAAAAATATGAGTTTATAGATTACATAATAAATAGATTGATTATTGCATAATGAAATTAAATTATTAAAATCAATCAATCAATCAATCAACAAATTATTTGCTAAATGAACAATCCTAATATAAGTATATAAACATATAGTATATAATCTTGTATAATTTTATAATTTTGGTTGAAAATGTAAATCCCAAGTATCTAATAATCTTCTATAATAAACTTCCTCAGGACCTAAACCCGGTGTACCATATGTAATTGGAGCCAAATAAAAAAAAATACTTGCATCCAAAATCAAAGCCAAAGCTGCTATTGCTATTGTAATGACGTCAACTTTAGCACTTAATAGATATGTGTGTTTTGATCTTGATGGAATTGGAATGGAAATTGGATAATTTATAGATTCAACAAACATAAAATTAAACACTACTCCCGATGTTAAATAACTACACAGCAAAGCTGGCAAATAATGATGTAAAAATAATGATCTTCCCATTAAAAAAAATGGAAAGTAATGAAACATCCATGCCATAAAAAAGAATCCCCCAGAATTATATAAACGATTACGAACAGCTATAATGATAATGATCATAATAATCTAAGTTAAATTATATATATATATATACATATTTAATTATAATAAAATACTTACGTTTTGGAATAGGATCTGTACCACGTCTTCTTGAAAGCATATCAGCTGCTAAAACACCAATAAGAACAGACATTAAACCAATTGCAATCCACCATCCAACTAGATTTCCAATTAAATATATTTGTTCCTTAGTGTCACTATTTGTCCAAAATGAAATACCACGTATTAAAAATGGCCAATTGATTGGGCCACTGGAATAAGGATGAGGTTTTGTTAATCCAGCATTATGACTTATCATGAGATTTTGAAGTTCAAAAAATTTACGAAGGAAAGATAATTGTCTAGTTGGTTTTTTAGGTTCCTTTGGAATTGTTACTAATCAAAAAAAAAAAAAGCAACAAAATAAAACAAATAAATAATATAAATAATTATGTATAAATAAATGAACCAAAATAAAATTTCAAATATTTATTACCATTTAAGCCAATAATCTCATCTACAAACCAATAATTAGAATTTTCTGTATTTTTCTTATTACCATTAACCTCTTGTTGTCCAAATGCCCATTCAGGCAATTTAGATTCATGTGTCCAAAGTGCAACTTTAGTATTAAAATGAATTAAGCGAAAAAAACTTGACTTGGTTTTTATAACAGATTCTTTATCACCATCTTTAGTAAAAACTTGGAAAAGTGTATCATTAAAACGAGCTGTGTCGTTGGGCTCAATAGTGGTGAATTCCTGATTCGTAGGCATTAATGGACTAGCAACATCATGAGTTAAAAGATAAGATTGAGTGCCAACATGTTCTAAAATAATAAAATCACCATGTTTGATTGTGTCATTTTCTGGTCTTGATGAATCAAATAAAGATCCTGGTGTTTTAATTCGCCAATGATTATTTGTGTCATTATGTGGATAACCTGTCACCTGTTGACCTTTGCTGCTAACACGACCATCATCATAACGTAATGGATAACGTTCTGTATGGGAATGCAAAAATACTGAAGTACCTTTATGCTTTATAGTTATAGTATCATTGTATTTAATATCTAATGATACAATATATTATTTATATAGATGAATATACTTGTATCAATATTTATATAATTATAACAGAAATATATATATAATTACCAAAACTTTGAGTAGACATTAAATTTCCATGCAAGGTTTCCTGAAAAGCAGGGCTCATAAAATTATCACCAGTACCACTTGTATTCAAGATAGCAAAATGAACATAGAACCAAAATAAATAAACAGAAATTGGTACAATTATAAGGCCAGCTGCACGTGCAAAAAAATGTTTTTTAAATTGTGCCTGTTGGACTTGAATTAGTTATTAAACAATCAATATAATTGGTTTTTTAAACAAAACCTGCCCTCCCAAAATACATAGCAATAATAAATATAGAAAAAATTTTTTTTTCAAAGGTGTACCATAGTTAATCCACGATGTATATCTAATAAATCCCATAAATCAATTAAAACTGCAGTGCCAATTGTAAGAACTGTAAAAAATCCAACCATTTTAACACTGTAAAAATATTTTAGGACAAAAAAATTAAATCACTTGAAATAATCAAATTGTAATATTGAAACTTTGATCAATTATTTACCTTAATGTTAAACCCAAAAAAAATCCAGTTGTGATCATCCAAAGCCACCATTCATTAGAATACTCTCTAAAGATTTAACAACATAGAATGTTTTAAATTATATATATGTAAATATAAACATATTCTCTAATTATGTAAACAACAAATAGATTGATTAACTATTACCTCAAGTGTAGTTTATAAAAACGTATATAAGAGTAAAAAGTGCAAAGCATAAAAAATACAAGCATCGAATCAAGAAGAATCAATCGTGTCTGACAAATCAGTGCGTTGTCTATATGAAGCCAACTTTATGAGATTATTTGTGTCTTGAAAAATATATAACACTAATAATTACTATGAACAAAAATAAACAACTATAAATATATATGCATATAAATATGATAAAATGATTGCTTGCCAAAAAGAACTAATCCAGCTGCAAAAGTTGCTGTCACTACTGGATAACCTGATTCAATCAAGATGACATATGTCAACGGAACAAAGAGGGCACCTAATGTTGCAGGTAAACCTCTTAATCCTATATATGGTACATTGTTTGTTATATAATCATCTCCAATATTATCAAATTCAAAGTGTCCATCAAAATTAAGTAGCCATCCCATTGCTGCTAGCATAAGTTTTGCAAGTGGTGGATGAACATCAAAGAAATAGGATCTTTTTAAGTAGTAACTGGCAAATTTGCCAAAATGCACTTCATCAAAACTAAATACATGTAAACACATATTGTTAATAAATTTTTTTAAAAAAAATTTAATGACAAAAAAAAATAACTAACACCACTTGTGTTGGATAATTTATATTCCAAAAACGAGTTATAAATGAAAGTATAGTTAAAATTAACAATATATTATTTGAAGGATAGTTCTCCAAGAATGCCCTTTTGAACTAATCAAAGAGGTTAATTGTTCATAAGTAGATATTAACGAAAAAATAAGACAAACCGAGCAAATTTTAACCTGACTCAATTAACTGCTCTTTGCCAAATACCTACTAGTGTTCTCCTGATCTCGTCTTTTACTCGTTTTTTAATTGGAATTTCCTAGACAAAAAAAAATGCGCTTGAGGATTACAAGATTAAAAAAAAGGGTAAAAATTGTTCCAAGCTTTTTACCTTTTTATTGTCATTGTTATCTTCTATGCTAAAGTTATTTTCTTCGTTTTCTTCGGTATGTCCGCCTTGTCTTTGACGAACTATGTTATTTTCAGACATTTTTATTTGATCTAATTGTTATATATATGACAGAAAAAAAAAAAATATTTGATATGGAATATACTAGTTTTTTCCGGCAAATATTTCCGACGATCATTTTACCATCCCATTTCACAAAAAAAAAATTTTATTATTTGATTTAATCACAATTGTATTACAATGTAATGTGATCATGATATTTATCTAGATAAAAATAGTTAATATGAAGCTAATTTACATCAGATCTACTATGGAACTCAAAAATTACAGCTCTATTAGAGGTATCTTGAAGAAAGAGCAAGGTGAAAAAATTGCTCCTTACATTTTCAAAATAAATGATACTGGAAGCTTATCTAAGAAAAGAAAGGGTTACCTATGAAATTTACCCAAGAAGAAAGAAAAATCATAACTAATAAAAGAACATTGTCACAAAACCATGATGAATCTAGAAAGAAAAGAAAAAATAATTTACTACCTAATTCAGGTTAATTAATTCCTTAATTTTTTTTTCTTTTTTCCTAACAGATAGGCAAAAACTCCTATCATCAATACTATTATTGTTCCTCCCAAAATGTAAGGTAAGTAATTGTTGGGTTGGTTGATGGTAATTGTTCTTGCTTTTTCTCAGCAATTATTTGTTTGAGTTCAGACTGGGATAAAGAGGTTTTATTATTGCTTTTTAAATAATTAAATATTTGTTGTAATTCAGCATTATTATTATTATTATTATTATTATTATTATTATTATTATTATGATATTCAACTACTAGTTTATTATCACCATCAAGAGTAACATTTTTTATATCATGTTTAATAAAAAACTGTTCTAGTTGTTCTAAATCAGAAAGAGAAAAGGCCTTTTGCTCTTCTTCATTAAACTCATAAACATCCTCATCCTCAGAAGGGGGAATAGTAGGGAGAGTCTCCTTTCCTTCTTCATCACCCAAGTGATAGCCTTCATTTTCTGGAGAGGAGTTTTGTTCCTCGAATTTTTTTCTTTTTTGTTTTTGATTAGCTCAATAATCAATTTCACTTTTTAAGGGTAGGGGAATCACGTGGTAAATTAATAGTAAACAATGGCTCAAAAAAAAATTTTTAATGTTGATCATCATAAATAATTAATAATAATGATAATGACGTAAAATAATAACTCAACATTATCAACATTAACACTTAATACTTTTGCCAATCAGTCTTAACGCTTACTTAAATATTTAAACACTTTTACAAAAACTTAAACAAAAACATTTATGCTTAACAAAAAACCAAAAACCAAACCTTTGCTTTCTATATTAAAGCAAATAACCAAAACCTCAGAATTCTATATCACTCTGATAACCAAATGGACAATTAAACCCTATTGTTTAATTTCCGACCAAAAAAATGTTTTATTAAGCAAAAATTGAAATAAATTATTTGTAAATAAATTTTATATTATAAGCAAGGCCTGAAATATTAATTAAATAGTTAATTAACCAGTTGATTGATTGATTGTTCTTTCACTTGGTCAAAAGGTAGTAATTTTTATGTTCTAAAAATTAATTTCTTTTTTAAATTAATATATAAGAAATAAATAATAAAAATAAGTAATAAAAATATTAATAATAAAATGACACATGTCCAAAACATGATTGGACAACACCTGTTTTATCACAATATTAATATGTAAATCATATTACAAATAGTAATCCCAAGAATAAGAATACAATTTATGGACAAAAATACTAAATGGATTGATTTTTCCAATTTTGAAGATCATTAATATTAATAATTAATAGATAATATGCCACAAAGGGTTAATGCTGTTTTAGAAAGTAGAGGAAACCTGACAAGATATTAATTTTTTTTTAATAAAATATAATCAATTTAAAGTAGTTTCGTATATTTTTTTGATGTCTTTTTTTTATGTTTCAAATTAGTGAGCAGTTTGAGGTTGAATTGTTTCATAGAATTTTTTACATTTTATTTTTTCCTTCATTAATTAATCTACCAAATGCTCTAAAATTTTAGAAGTAACTAGATTTAAACATGAGAAACATTTTTTACTTATGACACAAAGGTCGTTAGAACTTGCTAATGTGGTCAATTTTTGAGTTAAAGATTTTTAAAAAAATTCCAGAATTTTCATTTTTATCTTTTAAGGTTTGTAAAACA